AAATGACAACAGAAATATCACACATTTTGAATGTGTTAAACGTTTTACGTAACTAGAGCGATGTTCATTACAATCAGTATCTATACAATTCTTGAGCTTCGCAACCTTTAACATTTGATGTTTAAGAGAATTAATAAAATTTCCATTCGCAAGATAAGAGAGTGTTGAGGTTTGAAGGGTAACTTACTGAATAACAAACATGTAACACGATGTAAGTTAGGCTATTTTACTACTGCACTCCACACTTCTTTAAATTTTAATAGTTGTAAAGACCAATACAGCCTCACAATAATTACGCATATGTTACCATTGACATAGAAATTACGCAGTATTACACAATAACACATTTATAATATACGCAGTAATAACATAAGGCTATTCACCGAACTGGTGTAGTTTGTTGAATAGCATTATGTTATATTATGTTGAACTATTTTTATAAATGGAGCAATATTATTCTTTAATAATACGAAACAATTAATTATTATTTTATTTGTTACATTATTAGTCAAATACTCAAACCAAACTCAATTTTAAGATGTCGTTAAATCTCGTGATGTCACAGACAGAAGTGATATAGACAGCACGAGATTAACGGTGTCTTAAGACGACACATCGAAAATGAACGTTTAAAATGGCTCCGGGCTATCGCCGGACTGATCCAAGTGAATATATAATTTCTATAAAAACTTAAAAAACACTATCGTAAGGTCTAAAATTGCGTAGCACTCGCGACAATTAAGACCGCTTAGAAATTGTCAGATTCTTAAAATATTAAAAAAATATATTGATTAAAATATATTTATTATAATCAAAATAATGAGCAAGTAAACTACGAATATTGAAGTTATGAATATATTTGAGTGATTCCCAAGCATATAGATTAAGTAATTTCGTTGTATTCAACTATAGTGGTTTTTAGAAGTGTTTTCGCAAATAATTATGATCGAGTCAACATTATACAATCATATTTTTTAACAAGCAAATTCAAGATAAAGATATGAATTTACCTATATCAATATCCAGTTGCGTAAGTTGTGTCATAGTCCTATACTATTCGATGTAAGGTGCATTTTTTCACGATTTCGCCTTAAAAATGACTATAGCGTTTGAGTATTTGCGCATATGCAAAATTATCTGTAGTTAGTAGTGGAATGTATAATCAATAATAATAAAGCAAATTGGATAAATATTCTAAAAAAACTTCAAACTCAATAATCTTAAATATTTAATAAAATTCTCTTTATATTACATTACAGTATAATATCAAATTTATTTCTTAAAAAATAATATTTTTAAAGATTGTACAATTAATATTTTATTTACATGAGAAAACCATAGAGGATCTTGTAATATTAGTGCTGTAAGGCTTTGTCAAACAGACTAAATAGAGTATTATAATTAAAAAAAAAAAACAGTTTTATGATGTTAAAAAAGATTTGTATTAAAATTGATAGCACCAACGACATAGGCAACGCATATTTGGATTTGTGATGTTCCAGTTTTGAAATGATTTTGGATCACAGCGATAGCTTTTGAATAATTAGAGACTATGCAGGGATATAACTGTGCAGGGAAAACAAATGTTTACGCGATAAAAGATCATAATATGTAGGTAGGGTTGCCAATTCTTCTATATTTATATTACTATATTATTAGGGAACGAAATAATATAATTCTTATATATAGTAGGCGAAACTACTACATTATAAAAAAAGGGGTGACTACAGTGAGAAACTGTCAATAAAAGCTTAAAGCAACAAAAATATTCTTTTAATAAAAAATATTAATTTAAAACATACTGTATGTATTTTTTTTCGTCAGCCACTATATTTTTACAGTTAAGAGCCTCGAAAATACTATAATTGATATAAAAAGTTGGCAACCCTAGTGCAACACACTAAACCTGAAAACCAACAACTAGTATGACAGATCTTGGCCAAGTTGGGAGTCTACTCAGGAACTCATAGCAGTCGGTTTGAACACTGGCCCTCATTATCATCAAGTTTTACTTTAATTCTAAAAATTATTTTGTCATCGCATAATTAATTATAAACAAAATAGAAACGAATGTGATGTTTGAATTTGTGATATAAAATAACAACGATAGTATAACAAGCTTACATAATAGTGTTAATTTCACAAATAAGCACACAAGGCTGTATGTGTCCAATACAATAATCTTCATTCCTTATGTACATAAAAAAGTTAAAAAAAATATTGATTATTATTCTGTACTTGTGCCCTAGAATACTGAAAGTTACCTCGTGATTATTGTCAAAAAGCTCAATAGTCATTTCTAAGCCAGTAGAGACGGTATTGAAGCTTTACATTTATTATCTGTTTATACAATGAACTAACAAGCCCCTATTGTCACTTAGTTACTTCAAGTTACTTTATCAAATGCTCAAATTATCGACTCTAGCTAATATGTTTAACAAACATTTCAGACTATAACAGAGAGTTATTACAAAAAAAAAAAAACATCAAAAATATAAATCGTTATTCTTAGAATATTGAATTAATCTAAATAACATTATAGATAGAAATTGTATTATGAGTCACCAGTTTTTGGATGTGGACGTCGATAAATTAACATCAACTTCATCTTTAAATGTATGCATCAAGTGTTGCCATTATACTAAATAAGAAAGTGTTGCTTATAATTAAGTTTATTGATCATATTAAAAGAGCTGGTTTAAACAAACCTACTGTGATATACAAAACTGTTGTAAATGATCAAATACAAATATACCGGAAATTCAGAGCAAAAACTATGTCCGAGCTGTGGATGACGCGGGTATATAAATATGCCACGCAATTGTATTATCATTCACTACAGTTACTGATTTCAGGCAAATACTTTACGTAGTAGTTCAGATTCAGATTCTCGAAAACAACGATCGCGATTTACAAAACAAAGAGCTAGTTTACTCGCCTAATTGCATTCCACTAAAGAAGTTATGTAGAATTATTAGTACCGTGGTGCACGTCTAGAAAGTGTTTTGTGTGTGTCGTGCATCTCGATGGACTAATCAGCCAGTTAACTGGACTGGTTTGCTCTTTAAGCACCGACATTTAACATTTATCAAGCGAAAATCACTAAAGCGGGGAGAATTTTAGAACTAACAACGTATGTGCACATACCTCAAACATGTTTTGGCGGGCATTGGCGCGAGCATTTTAACTGTTAAATTTAGTTTTTTTTTTAATCAGATAACAAGCAAAATGGTTAAAACAGCGATTTTAAAAAACCTGACTGCGTAAAAATAAAACTTACCGTCCTTTTAATGTAATGGCAAGCGCAATATATAAATATTATATAGCCTGTGTCACTCCCACAATTAAGTCGAATCTAATAACACCCCTTATGTTAAAATCCATAACGCCGTTTAAATTACAGATCGTGCCAAAGAAATAGACATACATACATACATACTCTCGAAATACATTGCTCTCTTTCTGAGACAGTCTGGTAAAAATCAATGCAATCGGTGGACTTTTGAACGAACAAACACATTTGCATTTTTATTTATATAATTTTAATGATAGATAGAGATTATACAAAAACACGGAATAAGGGATTCAAATGCAAAAATAAATGACAGAAGTTTGTTTCAATCAGCTCTTTGAAAATGATGCAAATATAGTGCTAGCTTGCTACACTAGTTTTTAATATCAGGTTTACATGTGCTTACGCAATCAGTAGTTGGATCAGAAACTAGTGATGTATTATGCCAAAACAGTGTTGTATTGTCTACCAATGCTAAACCAATATTGAAGACCCTTTTTTCGTAACGAAACTCATTCGATTTTGAACTTTAATAGCTCGTATTATAATGTAATATCGGAAATGATATCTAACTACGACTTAATTCTAGCTATGGTCAAGTTACGCATAGCTGTCGTCAACGTAATATACAACGAACACAATTATAACAGAAAAATGAGAACATAATAAATGATCGAATGTAAAAATGTTTGTTTTTAATATCATTTAATAATAAATCAGTCAATTTCCACGGTAGAATCAGACAGTTGACACGAGCATTTTTAGATTGCTACATCATATGACTTGATTTTTGGTCAATTATACTTTTATAAAATAGCATATAAATGAGATTTATTTGACTATAAGAAACTACGAGGCCCTTTGAACGCAAATAAAACATAGAAGCATTCTAGATCCAAAAGTGTAATGAAAAAATGTACGAATGTTACGTGAATATCTTCACTTTTTGTGAAACAAATTTAAAGGTGAAAAAATAGTTCTGATATAGCTTAGTCAAATAATTTATTGTAAAACAGAGTTCATAAAACTAAATAGAATAAAATAATTCCCGAAAATTTTAACAGCATCTGCAGACGCGGCTTCATTGTTTCAATAAACTTTGTCTTTAGCACTTTTTGCTTTTTTTCTATTTTTTATTATATTAATTTAAATTAATTGTTACCTTTTTGTTTTTTAATATTTATGTTTCCGATTATTGATGTTTAGTGTGTTATAAGTGTAATGTAATTGTTGTAATTTATTTTCTCATCTATGTGTGTCAACTACCCCCCATTGAGAAAAAATTTATGCAGTTTCTATATTTTAAGACGTTTTGTTCTCCCTCCACGGTGTATATAAAACCTACTTATTTAACAATATACCGGTTTAACTTAAGAACCCCGTACAATTATTGTTTCATTTTAAGTCATCCAAATTTGCCAAAATCCATATATGTAAAAAACAGATACATGTAAAAAAGATTTTTAATTTATATTCTAATAATTCAAACAATACAAAATCGCTTTTGACCATTCATTCAAAAACATACTTAAAATATTAAAAGTCAATATCTTCTCTAAATCTCATCGTCATGTCAAACACATTCTATGTACTAATAACAAAATAATTAGGTCACCTTAAATTACTGAAGTTCTTCACATTGTGTTTCTGAAATGTACCACTTCACTAAACAACTATGATTTAGGCTAGGACACATCTAGCCTAAGATCTAGCCACCGCCGTGAGGAGGCCACTCCGTGTTATCCAGCAAGTCTTTGGTCGAAAGTTCCTTCAAACTATCACTGAGGTCCGCGCCACACATAGGAAAGGAGAGGTCGGAGCTCAGGCGTATTTCTTCACCCTGACCTTGAACTTCTAGTAGCTTGGAGATGGACGGTGTGCTGTTGGATGTCACATCCATATCCTGCTGCAATTGAAAAAGGTCTATAAGAATGCTGTACGGCTCTAAGATTTAATATACATATACAGTTTGTTAGTGTAAACACTGTTATCCTTGAAACCAGTGGTTTGGTTCCACTTATAGAACGTAAATTCAATGAAAAATAACATTTTTTTAGTAGAATCACAATTTTTCCTTAATTCCTCAATTTTTGCCTGTCCTAAGCCAGGATGAACCTATGAAGGAAAAGGTACAACGGTTATGTGTACTTATTGTGTTTTTATTGGAATGTTGTGTAGGTAGCTAGCGCGGGCGGTGATCTTTACAGTGATTACGTCACTCGGACGCATAGGGTATCCATGAATTTACGGATGGTGTCGGACAAAACTTTTTAAATGTTATGAAAGAAAATAGCGTGTTTTTTTAATTCGGATAAATATTTTTATATTAAAGCCAACTACCTATGGTTTTAGTGACTACGGTGTTTACACTTACACCTTGTATAGGGTTATTTTTCAGAGTATCCAAATTTTATATTTAAGTTTAAATATTAGTGCAGTTTTTGAAAATACGAGTAAATAAAGCTTCTAATTTTTTTTTATCTATATATCGTCCTCTGTGTGCGATTCAATTCACAACGTTCTTGCCGCCCGAGCGACCCGTACGAATGTGTGCGTGCGTAGTAAAATAGTAGGCGTTAGATATTTTTATGAATGACAATCAGTTAAAATAATGCATTAGCACGCATCCTGAATGAAAAAGATATAAAAACAGACCGTTAGAGATTTTTTTCACAAGCACACAAATGTATATTACATAAATATACGGTCTTATTACATAATGTCGCTCATTGATAGTCTCGAGTTTTAAGAAGAAATTTTGCCATGATAAAAGTCCCATGGCCTTGGCGCCACAGGTCTTAGGAAAATCATATTATCTGAATCGTGAATCACATTGTATCAAAAAATGCGTCCTCTGATGTGCAGCTAAGAGACTTCACTCATTGGCTCGATTATTTATTTATTTATTAGGATTACCAACAGAAATACAAAGATCATTTCCTAATGACGTTCTACTGCCGACGTAATTTCTCACAGGGGCAACTATTCGATCTTTTTATAGGATAGGATGACAAACGAGCACACAGTTCATCTGATGGTAAGTGGTTGCTGTGGCCCATAGACATCTACATCTATCTTCGATTACAAATCAAAATGCAGATGCGTTGTCACCCATGAGAACTAAGATGGAATGCCTCGTTTCCAGTAAAAAGGGTCTCCGGATCTCTACACTCACCATACGAAACAGCAGTATTAAGCTACTATTTTACGCTGGTATTTTGTGAAAGCGTGGTCTTTCCCCGGTCGAGTCGACCCATTCGTGCTACAACTATACTACTAATATAACTGCAGCATGGCTCTACCACGTATGACTTGAAATTTGGCATATACATATACTCCTTTCTTACTAAAAAGGATTTTGGAAAATACAATATCTGAGGGGGAGAAGTAGGGAGTTTACAACTTGTATTTCGATAGAACACTAACCTGAATAAGATTCTGCTGGTCGATGCTCTGGACGTATTGCCCTTGAGCGTGATTCAACCCTGGGGAAATGTGTCCCATAGCCGGCGAGGCGTGGCCCATGGCTGGAGACAGGGGAGAGTGTCCCATGGGTGACAACTGTTGCATGTGTGGCGAAAGTGGCTGCATGTGTGGTGACAGTGGCTGCATGTGTGGTGACAATGGCTGCATGTGCGGCGACATCGCCTGCATCGGGGAGCTGGGCTGCAGATGCTGAGCTTGTAAATAGCTCTGGTCCATCCAAGTCATGCCCTGGCCCGCGTACTGGTTCACTTGACTCGGGCCCGCCATGTTTAAGGACGGAGGCATGTCCATTGGCCAAGGCTGTAAGTAAATTATAATATAATAAATTACAGAAGAACAATTAGCTTTCTTCTGAGTGACGTTAAATTCTTGTTATTTATCGCCACTACACGGCGACGTAAGAGAAATCTCACAAAGTAATCTACTATCCCGTATCACTGGCGAAAACCTAAGGTGTGTTTTAAGATGCATAGCGGGAAATTGGAACAGAATTTTTCTGTTAACAGCTCAAAAATATTTAAAAAATACTGTCGTTGTCAACATACCTGCCATGCGTGGCAGCTATGGCAACTATCCCATATAAGACAATGTATGAGTGAGTCCAATTTCAGTAGAGGACTGCAGGATGTAATACATGATAGTTTTTTTTATAGAATAACTGTTACAGACGGCGCGGAGTGTCCGATGTCCTCCAAGTTAACACGAAACGAAAAAAACGAAATTGTACCTCTCGTGTGAAGCTGGAAGCCTCGACGGACATTTAAAAGTCTTATTCCAGTAGTTACGTTGTGCCAGTTCTGGCTCACTGAGTCAGAAATGGTACAACTACGACGTTCGTCGACTCACGATCCTAAAATAAAAAGGTTTTGGCATGCTCTGATCACGAATCTGCGGTCCATTTTTGCGTAGGATGCACGGTTCCGGAGATGTGCAGATCAATTAACTCTTATCTAATTGATATCCGGTGAAGTCCTCCACCGTCATTAGCGCTCCATTGTTCTTATCTATTTATCTATTGTTCATTGAATACCGTCATTATCTATTCTTCCTCAGCGTAGTGCTATTGTATCATGCTCCTTTGTTCCTATCTACACTAATCTGACTCATCAATAAAACACATTACCTAATTTTGTTAAAATTTTTATTTACAAAATACAAAATATTATTACTTATTATCTATAAAATAGGAGCGATGGGATACCTTCATTTTATCGAAGAGGATCGTCAACCACTCAGATTACCAATTTATTCTGATACACCTAATGAAGATTCAAACATAACATAAAATAAACACTCACGCCTGTCACCCAGAGGGGTAGGCAGAGACTACAGACTTCCATTTGGCACGATCCTGACACACCTCTCTCGCCTCCTTCACATCCATACACCTCCGCATACATGCTCGTCGGTTAAGGGTACTCCTAATTTGGCCCGTTTTCAATAAATCGCCAATTTGGTCGATAAATTTTCGCCTAGGACGTCCCTTTCCGACTCTGCCATTCACTTCTGCAACATAAATTTTCTTTGTCACTCTTTCCTCATTCATTCTTTCCACATGACCAAACCACCGAAGCATTCCTTTCTTAATCCTGGTCACAACATCATCTTGCATACCACACTCTTCTCTTATTACACAATTTCTTACCCTGTCATTAAGATTCAGCGCTAACATACTCCTTAACGACCGCATTTCTACTGCGTACATTCTACTCTCGTGATTCTTCTGCCACACCCAACTTTCACTACCATACGTTTAAGTAGGGACCAACACAGCATTGTGAATTGCCATACGTGCCTTTTTCGACACATTTTGACTCTTCACAATAGAGTGCAGGGCCCCATTTACTCTATTTCCCGCATTCACTCGTCGTTCTATATCCTTATCATATCTCCCATCCCTGCTAAATACGCAGCCCAAATATACAAACTCATCTACTTGCTCGATCAACTCCCCTTCTATTCTTATTTCACAAATCGTTTTACTTTCTTCTCTTTCAAAAACCATAACCTTCGTCTTACTTGCGTTCACTTTCATACCCCTTTCTTTTTTTGATGATTCAAATAAGTCTAAAATTGGTTTTAAAAATAAAAATGAAGATTCAAATAAGTCTTTAAAAATGAAGATTCATAAGTCTAAATTGGTTTTAAAAATAAAGATAGAGATCTAAAAACTTCAGTTGATGCTGAATCTTTGTTGGAGGAGAATCGATCCATTAAAAGTAAAGAAAATAATGAAAATCCACTTTACACACCAGCTCAAATACTCAGTTTAATACCAATAACTTATAATAAAAAGGGACAGTTATTATTAAACTTAGTTGAAACAAGTAAAAGTAAAATACATTGGGATAATGAAGGTACAGTCATAATTGATAATGAAAAAATTCCTGGAAGTAATATTGTTGATTTAATAAATGATTCACTAAGACCCTTAAAAAGAAGGGATTCAGTAGGGTGGGATAGATTTGCTGAAGCATTAAAAGATATTAAAGTACCACTTATATTGGAAATCCAAAGAGATGTGAGTTTATTTAACCAACTTCAAGCAAAAGATCTGAACAAACCCTCTGAGATTGAAGGTCAAGAGTTTTTTACACACTTCGTCTTTGCACAAATTTCTAATATACCAATTTAATATGGGGATGATGTTCTCTTGTTTGTAGGCACATTTTAATTCTTCGGTCACATCAAAATATGGAATGCCGTGCACGTGTGTTTCACAATAACGAACAGTTTTTTTGTATTTTGGTGACAAATAATTGAAAGGATAACATGGCCGTAGCAAATAATGATCGATAAACGCATCATTTTTATCTAATAAAAATGATGCGTTTATCGTTTTACGTCTAGAATAGCCATTTCTCTACATTGAAAATGTTTATGAGGATATGTATTGTAAAATCCGTCCATGTCGATGATGTATCTAATATTTTTTAGATTTTGTGTCATTTTGAACCAAAATGTTAAAAGTATTTACACGTGACTAAAAATATGTTTGTTCCAACAAACTTCACATAACAATGCTTCATTACTTCCCATCATCCCATTTCTTCCTTCTGCTCTTGTCTTCCTGTAATTTAAGTAAACAGAATCACATTCACTAATGATCAACTAATGACTGTCATTGTTAAAAAAGTATTTTTTAACTACTCTAGTATTCTTAGATATCATCTGTACGATATCATCTAGAGTTTTTAAAAAGAAATTGTAAAAGATGGAACTGGAATGTTGATGTAAAAGATGGAACTGGAATGTTGATAGGATTCAGAATGAGTGGACTTCAGTTTGTGGCGAATATTGCTTAATGTATTTGCTATATAAGTTTCAGGGATGTTCAATGCATAGTTTTACGAGTATATTTACACACATTGTACAACGATATTTTAGTGGATGAGATGTTTCGCTCCTATTTTATAGATAATAATTAATAAGATTTTGTATTTTGTAAATAAAAATTTTAACAAAATTAGGTAATGTGTTTTATTGATGAGTCAGATTAGTGTAGATAGGAACAAAGGAGTATAATACAATAGCACCACGCTGAGGAAGAATAGATAATGACGGTATTCAATGAACAATAGATAAATAGATAAGAACAATGGAGCGCTAATGACGGTGGAGGCCTTCACCGGATATCAATTAGATAAGAGTTAATTGATCTGCACATCTCCGGAACCGTGCATCCTACGCAAAAATGGACCGCAGATTCGTGATCAGAGCATGCCAAAACCATTTTTTTTAGGATCGTGAGTCGACGAACGTCGTAGTTGTACCACTTCTGACTCAGTGAGCCAGAACTGGTACATCGTAACTACTTATTCCGTATCGTCCCCGTGAACCCAGCATGCGACGTCATTGCGCCACAAGTTAAAGAGTAAATAGTGCAGGTAGGTAGGTTGATTAATTTCTTTAAGTAGTCTATAATTTTATGTATATCTCTTGCTTGCATAAAGGTTCACAATTATGGTAGGGGAAACTATGAAAAATTTTACGCAACCAAATAAAATAAAATCAGCATTGTGTGCCTCACAGCAGATCAAACTTCAGTTCAGCTTAATGTTTGGCTTCAAAAGTCATCTCTCTACAGAGAGAAAATTGAGAGAGACAGCTCTCTTTCTTTCTTTCTTCAGATGTCTACCAGATGTCTGCGCAAACGGTCACACAGTGAAATTTTTATTGAAAGGTTGGAATTCAATCATAAGTTTTTCCTATATATATATATACGCAGAACAATGCCTCAGTGCTGTGTTAATATTTTGTTATTGGGTAATATTTTTTACACATTTTTAACCCTTTTTAATTTTTACCTTTCGGAATATCCGTAGTTTATTAATTTCTAATCTAATGATTTCTTATATTTACGCGAACACTATACATGATTAAAACTACTTTTACGGATTTTATCGCGTTTATTTTTACTTTTTATTTACTTTTATCTTTAATTCCCGACGTTTCGGGCGCTTTCCAGCACCCATGGTCAGTCCCCCCATGACCATGGGCGCCCCGACATACATTCTAATCACGCAACATCACCTGATTTAAGCTAATCTACTTGCAAGGTTTATTTAACTACATGTTTATGAGTTCCATATGCCGACAAGCCAAAAGTTTTGTTTCTGTACTAATAGTCTTGTATAGATTTTACTAGCACAGCATATGAAAAAGTGTACCTATACTAACATAATATATGGACCTGAGTCTTAAAATAAATAATTAATTATAATAATATCCATAATTATGTTTTCCCAATTATGTGACAACCCTAGCATATTTGCGCAGGACAGCATAAATATCTACACCTACGCTTATTATAGATTTTTTAAACTGTGGCAGTAGCTTACCTGGACGGGTTCATGTTCGTAAGGCGGGTACACGTGTTGAGGCGGACTGCGCATGTTGCTCGGTGAATCTGCACAAAAAGAGATTTATCAAAACAAATTACCTACGCTTAAAATCCATCCCAGCATTCGCTTTTTAACGATGGCCTAAGGGTACCGTAAGAGTCGATGGTGAAAAATATCAGAGATGTCCCATAAAGTTCAATAGATAGATAGTAGTATATTAAATCAAGTATATATAGTAGTAGCTGTTTCCCGCGACTTGGACCGCGTAGAATTTATGATATCTGGTTTCTACAACAACGCCACCAATCGGGTCAAACTTTGTCTATTACCTTCGAGTAAGTGCAAGCAATGATGAACGGTATAGCAGCGCAACAAACAAATATTAAGTTTTATATATTAGATTCAGATATAAAAAACTATAAATACACAAAATAAGCTGATCATTCAATGGGCACAACAAAACGCTATGGAATCTATTCTGGTGATATTGGTCATCAAACATCATTCTTTTCATTTCGGCGTTCCGAAGTGCTTTAAAAAAATGTGACACCAACAACGTCCGGATTTTCTCCTGTGTCATGGAGGCAGTGTACACACATAAATTTCACAAGGACACACATCCAGACCTGGGACAATTATTTATAGGGACCACTGCGCCAAAGAGCTTTGGTACATTCGTTTGCGCTGCGAATTTGTTAATAACATGATAACTTGGCTATTCGTTCTGGTTCATTTTCAGCTTGCTATCGCACGATAGGTTTCCTGAAGAAACTGTAATACAGAAAACTTGACTACGTATTCTTTCTCTGAACTTCCGTTAATAATAGTGTTATTATTTAAGATACTTCATGCCTTAAAATATATTTAAAAATACATCATATTGTAAAATAAATTACTACTATCTTTTTACTGGACTGAATTAGGATTGTTATATATATATATATATATATATATATATATATATATATATATATATATATATATATATATATATATATACTTTAAAGATGTTTAAAATTAATCTGTATATAAAAAAAGATACATTATTTTATTACGCGGATCTTAGCAGATTAATTTTTAACAACGTTAATATAATGGATGTCCTCAAAGTAACGCTTGATTCTATTAACTATATCGGTACTTTGTCACATTTTAATTTTATTCGTTTGTAAAAACGGTCCCTCATTTTCAAATTGGCGAGGTTCGAATTCCGCAGGCGAGGGTTTAATCTCTCTAGGTGTTGGAATTTATTGTAATCGGAAGGATCGGTGCCAGACCTTTTGAGGTTTATACGTTGTTTCTTTTGTATTTGGCACTTATTTTAACTTTGCTCTGAAGTCCAATATTTAAAAATATACCTACCAAAAAAAACCTTAATTAAATAATAAAAATAAAACCCTATTTAAAGAACTAGCTGCATCAACTGTGACCATCAGGTGTGAAAGTAATAAAATCCTAGCATATTGTATTTAAAAAATCTTATCAGTGGGTCCAAAATTTTCGTTATTGTTTATTATCATTGTTATTGAATTGATCATTTAGATTAGCGTATATAAATATATCTAATTAGGCAAATATATTACCTCGCGGCTCGGACTTGATCTGCCCTCCAATTTCCATCGGGAAACCAACTGAAATTTTTAAACATATTTAAAAAATGTAGCAAAACTCACATCGACACATTTAGCACAAAATGGCGTTTATACATTCGGTTAATGATTTTTGAACACGCTGTATATAATATATACATGGATATGCACACTGTAATAATATACGAAGGGTGATCCAAAAGTAATGATAATCGGTTACTTCAGGTCCGCATAAAAATCCAAAAAAAATATTTTTTGCTTGCTTATATACTCACTACGTCAGCCTAAAAAAATCATATAAATAGATCGCGATTTCCGGGAGATACATTCATTTGAATACGAACTGTCAAAGGGATAACATCAACATGGAGAAAAACGAAATTAGAGCTGTCATCAATTACCTCTGTTTGAAAAAAATGTCTTCAAAAGACATACACAGTGACTTAGTGGAAACATTGGGGGACTCTGCTCCTCCATATTCTACAGTTGCACGCTGGGCCAAGGAGTTTAAACTGGGCAGAACATCCACTGAAGATGAACATCGCGAAAAACGGCCATCCACGTCCCTCACTGAAGACAACGTGAAAAAAGTCGAAGATGTTGTGTTGGCAGATCGAAGATTGACCATCAGGCATGTAGCTGAGGTCACAGGGATCTCATATGGCAGCGTTCAAAGAATCCTTGCGAACGAGTTGCATATGAAAAAGGTCTCTGCGCGTTGGGTACCCAGAATGTTAAAAGAAAAATCGAGTTGACATTTCGAGGGTCAATCTCGAAAAGTTCCAAGCAGATCAAGAAAATTTTTTGTTCTGTTTTGTGACTATGGACGAGACCTGGGGCCACCATTTTGATCCTGAAACGAAACAACAATCGATGAATTGGAAGAGACCTTCCTCACCGACGCCTGTTTTTTGGGACGCTCAAGGCATAATTATGGTGGAATATTTGGAAAAGGGAGCCACTATTACGGGCTCTTACTATGCAGACCAAATAAGAAGATTACGGGGAGGCCATTAAGGAAAAAAGACGCTTCAAACTGCGAGTTGGAGTCCTGTTTCACCAAGACAACGCACCGACTCACAAAGCCGCAGTTGCGATGGCTGCCATTCAAGAAACGGGATTCGAACTGCTCAAACACCCTCCCTATTCGCCAGATCTAGCTCTTAGTGACTTCTCTTCTCTTCTACCTCTTTCCTCTGTTCAAGGAACGCCTCCGAGGCAAGAAATTCGAAGACGATAGCGAAGTAATGGCCGCTGTTGAAGCATTTTGGGAGGGTCAAGACAAAGAATTTTTTTCAAAGGGAATCCTGCGTTTAGAAAAAAGATGGACTAAATGTATTGATTTGTTAGGAGACTATGTAGAAAAATAAATTATTATTTTAACTTTAATTCAATAAATCATTACTTTTGGATCACCCCTCGTATATTGTTGACAATAGAGTAATTGATAACGGAATCTTAATGGGCGCCAACTTTGCGAGAAATAACCGAATATATATTATACTAATAACACACGGCCCGTACAAGAGGGCTGAACCCTCGGAGCAATTACAAGAGTTACAGTACCATGTAAAGGTGGTGTAAAAATATTCTCACAACCCTATAGCGTTCTGTGGGTGTCGTAAGAGGCGACAGAGGGAAACTGAAATAGAAGATAGGCAGAAACAGAAACTGCGGTTGCCAACCCGCCCGCCAAGCTTGGCAACAATGGATAAATCCCAAGTTAAAAGACAATCTATGGGAGAGGCATGTGTTTAGCAGTGGATGTTAGCTGTAATGGATAATCTTATTCACGCTCCATCTTGATGTACGTCCCAAGGTCATGCACGACGCACTACGCAAAACGTCAATGAGTAGGCTTGACGTGCGTCAATTATTACGTACGTACAGCAAGATGGACCGTGAATAAGGCGCTTATAACAGTATAAGAAATATTTTGGAAAATAAAAATAGTGACAAAACAGCACTGGAGACATTTTTCACTAACATTTGTTTTTATAAAAGAATACTAGTTAAATAAGAACTTCACAATTTTTTTTTGTATAAAGGTAAACTTAATGCCATAATGGCGTTCTCTGCAAGTAAAACTTTGGTAGTACATATTAAAATAATTTTTACTTTCTTTCGAAAAAGAAATCAAAGCCTCCAATGCTATGTTGCCTCGTGACCGTCCCAAGACCTTTGGAATAAGGTTAATTTAACACACTTAACAATAAAAACACTAAGCCAATTGTGACATATAGTATGTTAACGAGAGGCGTGCATGCTATTGCCGCTATACCAAACTTGAATAAAAAAGAAAACCATATAAAAATAAATAAGTGAGATTAAAAAAATAAGTAAAACCATGCGTGTATAAAAAGTTACCAACTTAGTGGCTAATATGTGTATGTGTGTCAGAAATAAAAATACAGAGAACAAGCTGTAATCAGTAACTAATATCTAATAACAAAAAAAAAACATCGACAAACGAAAACTGCACACTCATGCCACGAAACTTTTCGTACCTTCGATCCTGAATTCCGGGGGTAATGTCACTTTTGGAAAGTACAAAAAAAAACAATATTTTTGTTTTAATTTTAATAGCATTTTATATTACAGAATCTCGCGACGCCCAAGCTTCGCCCTATCAAAAGTTATGTATAAAAATGTAAAATCATCCAAATGAAGCACAGGATATTAAACATATTTTGAAATTGTAACCTATAGCCTTAATTACAGTGAAAATCTGAAGACTGTAATATTGTAAATTCTTCAAAATTTTTATTTTATTCAGTTAAAAACTTGTAACAAAGATATGTATTTTTTTCGAACATAATATATACAGTATCTTTCAATGTATATAAAATGACACATTATTTACGTAGCAGTCGCAATCCCTATGATAGCGATAGTATCATACTGTAAAACTACTGTGTCTGTGTAACTGGTAAATAATGTGCCTAAGTAATTATTTTCAATATTTTATATAACCTTTAACCTTGGATATAGAACTTTCACTTAACTTGACAACCATAAATTGCATAATTATAAATCAAGTGATGTTAATACATAAGTTTCAGAAAGTGTAAAGTACTAATTTAAAAAATTATAGTTAATAATTTCAATGAATTTTGCAACGCGCTACATTTATTTCGTCTTTAGTGTTAGGGATAAGAAAAATAACGTTTAGTCAAAAATTAACTTAGACAAAAAATAACAACCCTTGTATACACTATTACATAGTGTACCCAAAACAAAAAACAGTTATTGCATAGCACTTAGTATATCTAACCTCTTAATAAAATACTCACTTTTTGTAAAAGCATTTTCATAATATAATTTCTTTAAAAAAATTAACATATTTTCCAAATAGATTATAATTTTTAAAACCACACTTACTCTCAATATACATAACCTAGAAAAGCTGTTTATCTATGTCTTAAACCTTAAACAGTTTAAACTTTAAATTATTGTTTAGAGGTTTAATTTGACTGTGAATATTTTCAAATTCAGTTGCATTGATAAGTCCGCAGTTCGAAAATTTTACTATAACACGACTAAGTATTAAGATATTAATAAAACAAAAACAAATTATCATTTTAACTATTTATAAAGGCTAATTTATATTATTAATAATTTTTTTATTATAACTGAGCTTTGTTCTCTTAGGACCTGCTCTAGGGCACACATATTCACATTAGCACTAAGTGATGCAATAATAATTATTTTGTACTATTAACACTGACAGTATTTTATATTGTATACGTTTACATTATTGTAAGTATGTGTATTATTATAGAATATAATACTAAATTTGATGTCCTTGAGTTGCAATATAAATAAAATAATTACAAATAATATTATAAAGGTAATATAGCAACTTAGATAACATAACAAGATTTATTAACTATATATCTTTCATTTTCCTTAGTGTATACACGAATAACATTAATTATTGAAATCCATTTTAAGTTAAGATATTATGCAGGAATAATAGTAAATAACATAATATTCAATAGACTTATTGTTAGTAACACCGTCACCGCTTCTAAGCTTCTTCTTCTACACATACAAATTAAAGACAAACACAACTTGGACGTATTGTAGTAGTACCACAGACAAACAACAATCATTTAAATATAATTTAGATATATCTAGAACTTTGCCGATCCAAAACACCCATAAGATTAATACTTAAAAATACAATCAAATTGTTAATAAATATATTTAAGCTAAGCATTAGCATGTCCTGGACATTTTCCCCCTATATTTATATATAAGTAAAATAAATAAATAATTTATATTGAGATATGTATAATAGTATATAATAAAAATAGTACACAAGAAATGACGACTTACTGTTCTGAGAAAATGGCGACAAGGGCTTCTTTCGCTTAGCGTTTACTACATCTAAAAAATATCAAATAATTAGAACATAATGAAACGAAATGCAACCATAAATAAAACATAATAAAATTTGTCATAAATTAATAACGTATAAAAATAATAAATAATTAACAAAATAGGAATATGTAAACATATTAAAGATAGATTTACAATATGACACTTTTAAGATGTATTTCCTTATTTTTTATAAGCTCTATAATGCTTGTATAAATTGCCAAAAACCTTTATATTATACCAATATATTTGCTAATTATAAGTTGGCAGTTGGCAGTATATCTTACTTGGTAATTGACTAAAATCATTAATATATATATGTATCCGACTAGCTTAAAGTGACTATTCATTGTTATGGAGAGAATTTTCATCGCTTATATTTGTATTACACAAACAGGTAATTCTCTCGTATTGAAGTATTAAGTACAGGCATCATTACAGTAATACTAAACGTTTAAACTCGATATTTTAAAATTTGGCAACAATGGGCGGAATAGAAGTTTGTATAAACACTATTGAAGGCATTAAATGAATGCTTTTGACATATTTTTGTGCATCCTTTTTTACTTTTTACACCTTGTTAAATGATTTTGAGTATTATTTATAATGATTTGTTTTAAAATGAAATAGAAATAGTTGTTTTAAATGAATTTTTTATTGTAAATGTGAGGTATGAGATGCTGTTGAGAAATATGTAGTAGACTAAAGAAACGAGTGAGTTATGTTTGTATGTTACTGGTTTGGATTCTTGTGATGTCGCTATCTCCGAGTGTTAATAGTGTTATTAGTAATATTGTTAGGGTATGTATAAAATTGGTGGGTTCATGACACCGCTGCTTCTTGTCACGTAGTTAATGTAGTTTCTAATTTGGATCGAGCCATGTTTGTGGGCAGGTTATGTACTCTTACAGAATACCAGCGTAAAATAGCAGCTTAATGCTCCCGTGTCTCGTGAGCGTAGAGAACCAGAGAACCTTTAATCCAGAAAATCTTTTATTGGAAAAGATTTCATCTTAGTCCTCAGGGGTGAATGCTGCATTTTGATTTCTAATTAAGGAGAAATGGAGATGTCTGTGGGTCACAGCGTCCACTTTCCATCAGGTGAACTGTGTGCTCGTTTGTCACCCTTATATTATAAAAAGTTGGCAGCAGTCCAGCTAGTTGTTGAACTTGGTGGCGTCCACCGGGGAGTAGTAGCAGCTGGTTTCGTCAAACTCGGAGGCTGTGGCGTGCGGAGCCACGGCCATGTAGAGAGCGTAGTGCTCAGCATCCGTGAGGTCCAGCTCATCCCGCAGCTTCTTGAACGCGGATGCGTCGAGCGCCAGCACGCTCTCCGCCACCAGGATGGTGCCGTCCGGCGGCAGGGGCCCGCCCTTGTTGCGGCCCGACCACTGCGACTCGGAGTCTGGATCACCGTGCAGGGAGATGTGCGTAATGCTGTCCGCGTAGCTCAAATTGGCTCCTGATGCGTTGTCTTTCAGGGACGTGTGAGATACTGAAGATTTGAACCTTGATGGTCTTTGCCCCGATACGCTACTGACCGATCTGCCGACTGTTTTACTTCTTGGCTCCTTCTTCCCCTCTGACTTTACGCTCGGTGCGGGAGACTTCTCCTTCTTGCGGAATAATCTGGAGAAGAAGGAGCGCTTTTTCGGCGCCGGAGGCAAAGCCGGCTCGCTTCTCGCTACGGTTAACTCCGCTCTCTCTCTGTTCCTCGTGATGGGTAACTGTTTGCCTGGCTTCAGGATGCTGTCGACGGACGTCTGACTGGTTTTGAAAGCGTCCGCTGTTTTGCGGACGCGTTTCGGCGGCAACGGTGGCGCCCTCTCATCATCCGTGTCGCGTTTCAGAGGAGAGAACTCTATGATCGGGCCGCGGTACGTTTGGACCTGGACGTCCTCGTAAGACATAGGATCCGGTTCCGGTTCGGTTATCGGTATTGGGTTTTTGAAGGCCAACTGCAAACTGGTGTAGGTTCCGGCGTCATTGAAGTCCTCCAAATCGGTCTCCGTGTCGTTTAGAGTGGTAACGTTCTCCAAACGTGTACGGTTCTCGGAGTATATTTCGTCCAGCTCGGCGACTTGGTCCAGTAGATCGTCGAGACTCTTCTCGTTGGAGTCTACTACGTTGGAGTCAATGACGTTGGAGTCGACAGAATCGACACTATCGACGCCATTGCTTTCCATTACATCAGAGGCATTGCCGTTGAGATCTGGAGCTGGGCTGGTTTCATCGCTGGTGGAGCTGACGAGGTCCTTGTGTGTGTCTGTGTGTGTGTCGTCTGGGAGGTGTGTGTGCGTTTGTTGTTGTATTTGTGTGCGGTTGTTGTTGCCGTCGGCGAGCTTGTCCCGCAGTAGATCGTATATCGCCAGGTCTGGAAGCGGCTTTCTGGCCGTACCTGGTGGCACGGTGTACTCGAAGTCCAGAGCGTTACTCCGGGCGTTGTCCGTTGTACGCTTCAGCTGGAGATAGACCTGCACACAAAAGTATACTACATTTAAACGAAATTACGCAAAAAAGATCAAGCCCACAGTTGTGTCAAAAAAGGGTTACTGTAACAGCCTATTAAAGTCCACTGTTGAACATAGACCATTAGACTCCCAAAGACTGCTTCATAGGGGCATAATTGACAGTTGCCACGCTTGGCAAACGGGTTGGCAACCGCAATTTTTTATTTTTAGTCGTTATTAGAACGACGTGTCCTAACTTTTGTTCCTCTGTCGCCTCTTACGACACCCACGGGATGATATGGGGTAGTGGATATTCTTAAAACGCCACTTCATTGTAAAAAATTACTTATGTATTCAAAAATGATCTATTCTTTCATAGAATTAAAGAAATTCCAACAAATTATCTGTCAATAGAGAGAAAGAGTCATTATCACTAAACACTGATACATGATTTTTTTATTAAAAATATGTTTCCCCAAACACTGAGTAACTTCTAGAAGACTTCAAAAGTCAATATTTTAAAAAGTAGTCTTTTGTGGGTTAGATCCTGTTTGCGTAACAACGTCCACTTGATTCATAGGAAACCGTAGCTTAAATGAAAAATAATAGAAATGTTGACTGTGATTTTGTGTGTGATTCGAACTCCAGAACCTAAGAATCTAAGGTCAAATACGCCAACCATTAAGTCACGCGGGTTCATATATAAATTAATATTTTCTTTTTACCTTATGTACGTTTATAATAATATTACGTCCTACAGACCGAATTTCGATTACGGCTGCCAGTCTCAACGGAGACTAGCCATCTGAGCGGACAGAATTATAGTGCACGAGCGAGAGCGCAAGCAAAAGTGCACTCTCTATGTATTCCCTTATTCTCATAGTCCTATGGGACAGTAATCCGACACGATGGGAGAGAAACCAAGCGCAGGACCAACGGCTTTACATTTTTTTCCAAGGCGCAGGTGTGAAACACTGCTAACTTCCTGACTACTGACTGACGGTTAGCTACTGCGAATTTTTTGACAGAAAAGCTCAATGTCAGATTTTTTTGGCCTGCACCGAGATTCGAACCCGAGATCTCATGATTAGCAGTTGCTTTTACCTCCACTAGACCAATGAGGCAGTAAGTAATAAATAACTCATCATTGTAAAAGCTTATTTAAGTTCATGTACAAATTTACCAAATGCTTAGCCGCCATTAATACATTACATATTTGCATACAGGACAAAACATATTTATTTTCTATAATCATAAACATAATATTCCTCTGTTTTCTGAATATCTACGCGTGATAGATTTACATATGAGGATATAACCAGCAAAACCAGATAATAATTGTATATTCACAAATAATGATTTAGTCAAAGAGTAACAAAAATGTATTTTAATATAAAATTGCATTTTAAAACGGTTTCCGCTCATACAGTTCATAGTTAATAAATATAAATATATATTGTATAATTAAGACGGACGCAAGCTGGCGGGCTTCCAATACGACTCCGTACAAAAGCGATTTAAGACGCGAAAGAGGAAACTCGAATTACAATTTACGTAAATGAAACAGTTATTTGACTGTTGTTTGGTGAGAAATTAACTTCATGTTAGTCAGTAAAATGTTGAATGGCGTCGTATTGTTCGTATTTTGTTGCAACTGACTGCCTCATTGGTCTAGTGGTGGAAACCGCGCCTGCTGATCATAAGGTCGCGGGTTCGAATCCCAAGTCAGACCAAAGATCAGTTATTGGGTAATGAGTTCTTCTTATGTTTACCCGAGTAGACATTTAAATAAAACTAATTTTTACGGGTTACTAATTTTTGGTCTGATCTACACAGAATAAGGTTATAGTATCTTCATCTTGCAGTACAAGTGTGGTACAAGGTGTTTCTGTCGAGAAATTCACAATAGCAGTCCGGAGACAGCAAGAGAAATGACACTATGAATAAACACTACTTCCTTCCTGATTAAATACTTTTGACTTATATTCGGTATTCGATTTGTGGCTGAATATACTATACTTAGTAGGTAGTAGTGTAGGTGTAATGATGACGACGTGTTACCGTCGCACAGTACCTTAACGTTTTTGGTGGTGTCCGGGTTGCGGTAGGGGGGAATCTCGAAGGCGATGGCGACCTGCTTGTGCACGTGCACGTTGTTGGCGGCCGCCTCCCAGATCACTTGCTCGTTCTCCTTCTCGAAGAACACCACGGCCGTGTCTTCACGAGTCACCTGCACATCGACCAAAGATCACACGTTATCTTTACCACCACAGGTACCTTTACAACATACAACATAAATTAGGACATTGTGCATTTTTCAACATTATATCTGTGCTCTATAATAAATGAATTTATAAATAGTTTAAAATTCATTTTATTTATTGGTGAAAACAGTGAGTTAGGTGTTAGTAAAATAAGAAGTAATGATCGTGTACTGGCGGTGTAAGAGTATTTACTGCTCCATATGGCTCCGTGGGTATCGTGAGAGACCACAAAGTAAAAGTAAAACAGGTGATGGGCAGCAGCACTTCCCTGATAACAACTCAAAAAATTCAAAAACTGCGCTTGACAAGCGTGCCAACTATGACTAAATCCATCCCATGAGCTAATCTATGGGGGAGACATAGGTCTTCCTCATAGATTACCTTATGGGATGAATATAGGTTCAGCAGTGCGTGCATGTGTGCGTGCGTGTGCGTGCGTGCGTGTGCGTGCGTGCGTGTGTACGTGTGCGTGCGTGCGTGTGTGTGCGTGCGTTTGCGTGCGTGCGTGTGTGTGCGTGCGTGTGTGTGCGTGCGTGCGTGTGTGCGCGTGCGTGCGTGTGCGTGCGTGTGCGTTCGTGTGCGTTCGTGTGGTGTTGCGTGCGTGCGTGTGCGTGCGTGCGTTTGCGTGCGTGCATGTGTGCGTGCGTGTGTGTATGTGTGTGTGTGTGTGTGTAGACGTGAACGTGTGTGCATGTCTACGTGTGTGTACGTGTGTAGACGTGTACGTGTGTGCGTGTGCGTGCGTGCGTACCTTCTCGCAGAGCAGAATCATGGTCATGCGGCCGCGCACGGGCCCGGCGCAGTGCGAGATGCGCGTGATGTGCAGGTCGCTCATGGCCTTCTTGTCGAAGATGACGTCGGACACGGCGGGCGGCAGCGCCAGCCGCACCTTGCCGCCCTTGCCCGTCAGAAACACTTGGAAGCACAGCCGCACCGCGTTCAGGTCGATGCTCTGCGGCTGGCTGCGGTGGCTGAATCCGGCTGCCAACACGCGCACTTTTTTATAGAACGTCGCAAACGAGCACGTGTTAGAGCCACGTTGCAGCTATATTATGGCTGTAACACGAATGGGTTGGCTCGACCGGGATAAACCACGATCTCACAAATTCCAAACTAAAATAACCACTTAATTCTACTGTGTTGCGTACGGTGAGCGTAGAGAACCGAAAACCTTTTTTACTGATAACGAAAACGAGACACCTTAGCCCAGTTAGTTACAACGCATCTGCATTCTAATCCTTTAAAGGATACCTTGAAAATGAATCGTACTTTTGGGAGCGTGGCTTATCCCCTTGTCGGTAAACTCACGGACGACTAAGGGGGTGTCAATATGAAGGCGATGCAATGACTTCATAATACGCAAATTATGAGATAGCTATACCGAGCACTCGCTCGATAAAACTAAGTAAGCACTAAACGACATTTTTTTTAACAAAACTTTGTTATGGATTAAAAAAATAGTTTATGAGAAATTAGATATGATAATTTAGTATACCTTTAAAATAATTTCATGAACCTATTCATAAAAATATTGCGGTGTCATGGAGAAATGTGACTAATTAGAGCCTACTTTGGAATTTTTTTCTATAGAGAAAATTACATGTTATCGTATTTTCCTTTTATGAAATCCAAGGTCATATAGTCAAAAATCATATGCCAAAATTTTGGTTAGTCTATACGACCGTGGTTCTTGCCCGATCGTGATGTATTTATTTATTCCGAGCGTGATCGTGTAGTTGTGAACTCATGAATGTCTGTGTTTTGGTGGATTTCTCTGGCAATTTGGTTTTGATTTAGCTATAAGAATAACACAACATTTCAGAATTCAAATAGCCATCAATAAATGGATCAATAACCTCATGACAGTTGACAGCTAACGTCAAAGCGACTTCTATCCGCCGTTAGTGTTGCATTTTCTTGGTGAGAAATGAAGGTAATTTCGTGAATTTGAATGAACAAAAGTAATTTGATATTTTGTTTTAATTTATTTCCCTACTAGTACAAAACTTATTACTACTACGCTTGATACAATTTTGGACCGTCTCCTTTATTTTCAATCTCCAATTCCATTAAAGCTTTTTTATATGTTTAAGTATAAACAATAAAAATTGATGTATTATTTTAATACAACGTTTTTATTTACTCACTTTCGTTGTACGTCTGTTCGGGTAGAATTAAGCAATCGATTATAAAAAATAACCTCCCACAATGTAAAAAATATATAAAAAATCGTGGTACATATATTAAAAAATGTTATTTTAAAACTTTTTGAATTTAAAAATATATTAAACACTTTTTTCTCGAATCTCAGCAAACTAATAAATGCTAATTAATCAATACTTTGTAAAACGTCCTAGGGTTCATGAGACCAATAGTCAGTCAATTATGTTTTCATAGTTATCGACTGTTGCCAAAAATTTGGTGAACCCGCTAAAGTACTGTTTGCTTTTGCCGTGTAAAAAATTTGATACTCGTATATTAAAAAAAATCATTTTATTATTTAATTTGTAGCCACCGGCAAATGGAATTTGCGATGTAATGGTTTATAAATAAATTCATTTCTCATAACCGAGACTGAATGACGTAATTGCCGTCTACAAGTGAAAGTAAGTTTGACATCGCCTCCCCTATTCCTAACTCAATAGACGTCAATGTGACTGGCAACTTCAGGGTCGTCCCGCTCGTTTTCTCTGTAACACGTCATTGTATAGTCGAGATTTTTTTAGTCGAGTAGCTTCGTTTCATGATATAAGTATAAATATCCATTACGTCGATAATACCAGCGAGGGTTGCCAGGTCAAAATATAATATAATAAAACATTATTTGACACAGAAATTCAATTTAGAAGAAATGAGAAACTATAGGATTGCACCTACACCTACAGTGAATTTTCCTCAATATATTGCCTCATACAGGGGAGAGGATTTAATCTAGATTTTTTAATGAATGAGTCAGTCAGTGAATGAAAAAAAAATGGTTTATTCATCAAGATTAGGAATCTAGGCATTTAAGGATGCTTCATTAGACTGCAGATATACAAGTGGGTAGATCTAGGAACATAGACCTACACGGTCTACAAAATATCCTTAAATATATTTCATAAACAGCAAAAGCGGAGCAAATTTAACTGACAGACACCGCTCGTAGCAACTCCGCACGAAAATAGTCGCCACCAGAAATAGACGTATTGTTGCGTGCAGAAGCCGCCGATAGTCCGTTTGTGGGCCACCGATCGGGATAACTCTCGCTTCGTTATATATATACGTAAAACTCACGTGATGATTAATGGAATCCCAGAGACCCGACGTAAATAGCACGTCAAATAAATAAAGTTTTTCTCCTTTCACAAGGAAAATATAAAATGGTAAGGTTACGTTTGTCAGTTGTGCGGCACACAGTAATACACTCATGGATAAATTTAGAGAAACGCAAAAAGGAGTTTAATTTCTCCCGTTGTAATTTTAGCGCGTACTGGCCTCAAACATTAGTAAAAACTATTAAAAGAAAAAAAAGTTTAGAATATTGTTTTTTCGAATTCCAATTGTTTTTATATAATTACTGCGTAATATTACGTTCTTGTATACTGCCATTGAGCTATTATGTACTACGTACTAGAGACGACACTGCATTCAGCTACTCTGTTCCACTCAACTGCGGTGCATACACCGCACTTTAATCAGTCACTCGCTAGGCGCTTGTAGAGTTGTCACGTGTTGTTTGGATTTAAAAAAAATCTCTTGATAAAATATGCCGTCGTGTGTACTTAGATATTGCACAAATAATTCAAGAAATGTCAGTAAAACCAGGGAATTACTTTTCATCGGTTAATAAGATAATTAACCAATAAAAAGTATTATAGATTAATAATAAAACAAATTATTCCTAAGACGCCATCTCGTGTCATGGAATATAGATTATGAAATTAATATGTTCAGATGCGCCATTTCTATGGGTACTTAAGTATAGGACGAATATATTATTATACACATTTTTTTTGTAGAAACATATATAAGTTATTATAATTAGGCAACATTTTTCATGTTTAAATCTGCTTATTATTCTTTTATTTTATTTTTAGGTTTCAACATCAAAGTCAAAGTGGAATAAATTCGTCCATTTTTAACTCTCGCGTGCCCAGCATTTATGAACGACTCTTATCCTAATTTAAATAAATATATTTGTAGTTTAAATGTTATGTTAATAAGTTTTGTTAAACATACATTTAGTATGTTTTTTTATATTTGACATAGATACCTTTTAAAATATTCAATTAAAAATATCATTAAAATGTAACTGAGATATAATATTATGTATTTAAATAAGCAAATATAATATACATAATAAATGTCAAAATTTAAATATTGTTCTAGATATAATTTACCTATTTAACAATACAATCTACTATTACCCACGTGTTATTCTATCTATGTTTATTCTATGATAAAAAAAACAACCGCGCGAACATAGAGTAGCGCACATTTTATGTTTGAGATAGCTGTTCTAGTACGTAAGTACATATTAATTCAATGTATACTGCGCACATTTTGCCAACTTTTGAATTTGACTTTAAATTAATAGTTCTGTTTAATTTTTTGACTTGACTGCCCTTGTTTATCGTGGAACGTGTTAATTATTACCAGAGAAAGACAGATCTAAACGATACCTACTTAAGACCGATATACACTTCGACGAGTACAGTAGCGAGTTTAGTTACAGGGCAGTTGACAGGAAACGGTTAAGTGGCAAGTAGCGTTCAAACAATGTCTTCGTAACGAGTTTAGTTAAGGACATTAGTTCATCGAGTTCGTTTGAGTGTGACGTTTCAAGACTACAGAATGTTTCTTGTGTTTCGTTTAATACTAGGATTACATCAAGAATTAAATGATATAATCAGAGAAATATTAGGTACTGGTTGTTGTTAAAAACGTTTTTAAGAATTTTCATGAGCGCAGCATCTCGAGCAGGTTTAATTTTATAATTTGAACTTCGATTATTATACAAACATACGTGTTCTGAATACTCCTGTACGAACGTGTTTATACGTGATATCTTGCGTCTATTTCATTATTAAAACTATATATAAAATGTATAAATATTGAAGAAAAAGTACCGTACAAACGTTGTGGCGAATTTAATTATAAAAGTACAATTATACGCTTTGGCGCGCAAATGTGTCCTATCAAGTTATGCACTAAACGAGCGAGTTTAGTTGCGGGTGGTGGGAGACGCGCGGGAGGATAACACTTCGCACTTAACTCGCCGAAAAATAGCCCAGCCGGCTATCCCGTTCAACTTAATTGTTAACTTGCTACTCAACTCGCTTTCTGTCGTTCAAATGAGATTTTTTACTTAACTCGCCAGGTTCGCAAGTTAATTCGCTACTGTACTTGTTGAAGTGTAAATCGGTCTTTATGTTGCTAGTGCTGTTACTTTAATTGAAACTGGACACACCTACAAACATGTGGGCCAGCGGCAAGATATATAACTGAGATTTTGGAAGAAATTGTAGTGACATTTGCCCCTTTTATGGGAGATATTTTTAATGCATGATGTTGCACGCCCCCATACTGCGGCCGAAGTTGTTGAATAGCTTCCGAGACGTTGAAATCGAAGAAATAGGGTGGCCAGCACGCTCACCCATCTTAAACTCCATAACTTGTATAGGATAAGCTTGGAACACAAATTAATAAAAGAAATCTTGCCCCCGCTATATTGAAAAATCTTAAAAACGCATTACAGGAATAAAGGAATCTCTCAATATTTTTTTTTTTTGATAACTTGATTAGGAGTATGCCCGCGTTATAGCCTTTTCTAAGCATTTATGAAAAAATGAATAAAATTTTAGGTACAAAATATTTCTTTCCAGTGACTTAGCATTTGTTTTTCAGGGTTTGCAATTTTAAATTAAGGAAATTTGAGTAAAATTCAAATATAATAGAATAAACTGCAATATTACACAATATTTATGATATTTTATTTTATACACACCTTTTTTGTGTTCCTCTAAATTTGTCTATGAGAATAGAGATATAGACAGTTAACAGAACTGTGAGCAGCTGTATTATTGTTGTAGCACGACTGGGTCGGCTCGACCGGGGTAGGACCACGCTCTCGCAGAATACCAGCTTAAAATAGCAGCTTAATGAAGCACCGGAGACCTTTTTAACTGGAAATGATGCATTCTTAGTCCTCAGAGGTGACAACGTATCTGCATTTTAATTTTGAATCGAAGACACATATAGATGTCTATGGGCCACAGTGTTCACTTACAATCAGGTGGACTTCATTCTCGCTTGTGACTCTTATCTTATAAAAAAATGTAATGAGTGAGTGAGTAAGTTTATAAGGATATTTTTCAAAGAGTCTCCAAATTTTAAATTTAAATACAAATATATAAATAAATCGAGGCTAAATTTGTGCTCGTTTATCATCCTTATCCTATAAAAGAAAAGCTTTTTTATTAATTTTTCTCGCCATTTGCCGACATTATTTATTCTAAAACTACTGCAAAAAAAAATGGCGAAAAAATTATTAAGCGTCTACTTATGTCACACCATTACAGATATCATTAAAATAATTTACTATGTATTATCTAATAAAGCTTACGGGCTATCGAAGTCTGGAAAAAATCATCATACATAATTTAAAACTAAATTGACTATTTGCTGCAATTGTTACCATTCGCCGATTAGGGCAGGTAAAGGTCTTATACCGTATAGTCTGATGATACTAGTATGATGTATATCTATTCTATTCACAAAACTCTTCTAAATATACTAATGCGTTTTTTCAGATTCCTTCTATGCTAGTAATTATATTGACTGGCTGTTGTTGTTGTAACAATTTACCAATTACAGGCAAAGGTCTTATACCATACAGCCTAGTCTGATGTGAATGTTGTTCAATTTTGGAATATTTTAATTCCTGACTTCCTACAATAGTAAGACCGAAGAAAAAAATTGTTTTGGGTTTCAAATCTTATATTTTAACATATTTCTCATTTATATACGCAATAAAAATATGTCAACAAAAATTTGTTTTGGAGTTCGCCATTGTTCTTTGGGCGTATATTGCATAATAACCCTGTATATATTGGATAAAAATGATTCTATTCGAGTGAATGAGTGAGCGAGTGAATGAATAAGTAAGTGAGTGAGTGAACGAATGTAGTAGAATGAGTAGGTACTGACTCTTGAAGGGGTCGACGCGCAGCTCCTCGCGCGTGCGCAGCGCGGCGTCGACGTCCTTGCGCTTGACGCATTGGATGCCCAGGTTGCTGAACGACACCAGCGTGCTGTCGCCCGTCAGCTCCGCCTTCACCGTGCACACGCCCTTGTCGCAGCGCTCGCGCCCCACCAGGTTGTGCGGGTGCGGCCTGCCCAACTCACACAATGTCCAAATGCTCTCACGTTAAGTCCCGTGCCGTCTCTGTCACTTTAACTCAAACAGACTGACACCACGAAACTTAGACATCTTAAAATTGAATAGCGTTTAAATATTTGACCAAAACACTACTAAACGAGCAAAATATTGCTTCGCTTAGTACCAGTAAAATAAAAGTATATTTTTGTCTCATCCAGTTTAACATCAGAACTGCTAAATAGACCAAAGAATTCTAATATTTAATAATAATGGCCTCCAATCCGAATTTCCGTCATGACGGCCAGTCCCAAAGGAGAGTTACCATCTGCGCAATATAGCATTATAGTGCGTGAGTGTATGCGCAAGTACAGGTGCACTCTCCATTCCCTTACTATCATAATTAGATGAGACGGCTAGTCAAAACGACCTGTGCAAGATCAGACGCAAGACCAACGGTTGTACGTGCTTTCCAAACACGAAGGTGAAACACCGCCAACTTCCCGACTCCGGGCCATTACTGACAATTTCTTAACAAAACTCAATAACTGATTCTTATTGACTCGACCCGGAATTCAAATCCGGGACATCGTGCTTAGCGTCGCGTTTACGACAACTAGTCCAACAATCCAGTCAACCACTTCCATGTTATATTACTAGACGGGCACTACAATACTACATTTACTATATTGCTCACTAAATTACGCTTAATTCTTCGGACTTGGTCGACTGCGAAATAGGCATGTTGACCAAAGTACAAGTACAAGAAGAAACATTTTACTCACAAATTTCTGAAGTGACTGAGTGAAATTTTGGCATTTTTAGCTAAGTCCAAATATATACATATGCTATATTATGGTTGTACCAGCGTATAATAGAAGCTTAATGCTGCTGTGCTTCGTATCGTGAGTGTAGAGAACCGAAGCTCCTTGTTACTGGAAACTAGGTATTCTATCTTAGTGCTTACGGTTGGCAACGCATCTGCATTTGGATTCTTAATTGAGGATAAATGTAAATGTCTATGGGCCACAGCATCTATTTACTATCAAGTAGACTGTGTGCTCGCTCTTATTCTTAGCATATTTTGGTATTTCAAGCTAGGTACAAATACAGTAACATAACTGACTTGTATGGGTGATCCTTGGTGACGCAGGAAACCACGACGATAGCGCTGCCGGTGCAGCCGCTGATCTCGATGGTGGGGTAGGTCTTCCTCTCGCTGGTGGTGTTCACGCCGGGTATCGAACCCGCCGACCGCCCTTCGCATTCATAACGGAACCTGAACCAAATTGATTTATTATAGTATAGGTACCCAGCACAATGCAATTTTGAGTCTGTTTACCAGTTCAGAATAACACTGAACATAATCTGTGGTTATTATTTCTGTGTTGACTACAGTTTATGACAATACAAATAGAAGTACCGTTTTCTATAAACATAGTAAATTACAGCAATCTTAGCATATGGTAGTTTTTAAATTAAAACTTACACTATAAGATAAAAAACTAACGGCCTCACTATATGAACGGTGTTTACTGCTTATATAAATTATCTATCAAGTATTAATTATCTCTGTATCTGTCTCTTTCTATTGTCATTTATTTAAAAGAGAGAGAAAAACTTTAAGCATTTCTTATATTAAGGATGAATTTTATGATTAAGGCCCTAATTATTCCAAAACCATTTTGTACCGGTGCTCAGCATTCCTTCATCCCATGGTCCTGACCGACTTGCGGCATCAGGACTAAATATCGGGAATCGCATACAATGCTCGGGGCCTTTTCCCGTACGCTTACTTGACTGCCTACAAATTTCTCTGTTCCATCCCTTTTCTCTACTTCCACCTCTCACCCTTCTAGAATGTGACTCCACAACGACCATTCTACGCGTTTGCTATCTTGTGTCGTATTCTTTAGTTTTTGTTTTGTTCCCTCTTGTGATGCCATGCCTGTGCGAATTCCTTTAACTCCTTAAATGTATGCTTACAGCAGACAGTATGTGCTCATCTGTGCCCAGCACTGGCAAGTATATAATAATAATATGTGTATCGATCCCCGATACCGTCCGCATCGTCCTCCGGTTTCTTTCCCTTTCCCCCTAGCCTTCGGCCGTTTGGTCTCCCCTGCCGAGGGGTTTCATTTGGTTGTGTATTTATTTATTTTAATATTTTATGTATAGGTATTATGTTACTCGTAACACGACATATATTTTATCATATTTATCATTTATTATTTTTGTATACATTTTTATATCCCAAATAGATAGAATTTATTTGCCACAAATCTTTTAACAAATAAATGGAACACTGGCTTCTAAACTGATTGTATAGGCTGGAAATACATATTCCAAATAGTGTTAGAAGTCTTGACATGCGTGAATTTCGGTAGCCAAAAAGTTTTTCATCCAAGTAACACCAAACATCTTGTTTACTGTGAGCCTAATTTCTAAATATAAACGGCAGTAATGGGCGACCTATTTCGCGAAGCTACAGTGTTGATCTGCCAAAATGGATCACGGGTTTGGATCTTTAAAACATACACAAATATCAACTCCTACTACTGTAATCCCTAACAGAGTAACAGCAATAATTGGATTATTTAAAAAAAAACGACTACGCGACATACGTCTGTTACTGTGACTGATAACCCACCTGCTAAGGAGTTTTGGCGGGAACTTGACCGCAGACGGATTGTCGCTCCCGTTTTGTCACTTAAATAATGGTTTGAAGTGGATTTTGATTCGTAAAAGTGAAGCGATTTTGTGAATTAAGTGTACGCGCGTGTGAACTATTAGAGAAAACGACGAAACAAGTGCTTTGATGTCGATAAAACTTCAAGTTATTTTGATCGCTTGGGCGCCTCATGAAGTTGAGTGGCTGTCGTCATCAACTGTCCGCTGGGTTGAGCTGTCGAAAAAATCTCCCAAGGGCTTCGCAATGTGACGCATCAGCATATTGTGAAGAAAAAGAATATAAAGATGAAGATTCCGAAAGAAGTGAGTGATGAGTCTCAGAAGGGCTAGAACCCAGAGCCGTAAAGCCAGTTAAGAAAATCCCATCTGCTAAGCGCGAAGATTAAGGCAAATTGTTAAAAAAAGCAGCCAACAGACTTCTAGGAACTGATGAAGAATGAATAGAATAGAATAGAATAATTTTTATTCAAAATAGATTACAAGCATACCTATTGAAAATATATTTTTACTTTTACTTTTACCACTGATTCGGAAAAAAAACCCTCTATTCTGGGAAGAACCAACAGAAACCCAGCCGGCTTTTTTTAAATACAATCAATTTCATCATCATCATCATTACAGCCCTTCATAAGTCCACTGCTGAACATAGGCCTCCCCCAAGGAATGCTACAAAGCACGGTCTTGAGCCACCTGCATCCATCGACTTCCTGCATGTTTTACCAGGTCGTCACTCCATCTAGTGGGGGGTCGCCCTACACTTTGCCTACCGGTACGAGGCTACCACTCGAGAACCTTTTTTCCCCAACGGTTGTCGGTTCTTCGAGCTATATGGCCGACCCATTGCCACTTCAGCTTACTAATCCGTTGGGCTATGTCGGTCACTCTAGTTCTACTGCGGATATCCTCATTTCTCAAATCATATCAATATATCAATTTACAATATATTATTTTACATAGTTGGTATGAAGACATACGAACAGCATGGTAGCGATCACCTCATTCGCAGTGGTTATTATCAATCATATACCCTAGTAGTATTATAAATACATGGCAGAGCCACGCTGCAGCTATATTATGGTTGTAGCACGAATGCGTCGACTCGACCGGGGAAGGACCACGCTCTCCCAGAATACCAACATAAAATAGCTGCTCAATGGTGCTTTGTTTCGTATGGTGAGTGTAGATAACCGGAGACTTTTTACTGGAAATGAGGCATTCCATCTTAGTCCTCAGCGGTGACATTGCATCTGTATTTTGGTTCTTAATCGAATATAATTAATGTGGAAATCTATGGGGTATAGCATCTATTTACTATCATTAATTTTCAATAAATATAAATTCTACCATTAACTTTGATGTTTCACATCTGCCGGGTGTACCGTGACGGCCAACTATATAGTAAATAGTTATAGATTTTGTTTGTTTGTATTTTATGCGCTGCCATGTCATTCATCAGATTGCGGTAAAACTTTATCAAGTGCAAGCAATATGTTTGCACTTCCGCGAAGGTTATAGGCATAGTTGGATTAGGCAGGTGGCGCTGTTGTAACAGATAACAGATATCACCCATGCAAAGCAAGGGCAGATCGCTATTTCATAATATGGGTGACAACGCATCTCTATTTTGATTCGTAATCGAGGATATGTGTGTGCTCATTTGTCACCCTATCCTACAAAATAGTAATTTGGGGTTTTGGCGGGAACTTGACCGCCGGCAAATTGTTTTTATTGCTCCCTCGTTTAAATAATGGTGTGTATTAAACATCTACGGATGTGAACTATTAGTGGAAACAATGAAGAAAATGCTCCGATGGATGGTGATGTGTACCTCAAGGTAATGTCTGCTTAGGTGCCTTGAGATACTCTCAGCATCGACTGTCAGCTGGCTCAAACTGTTGTGAAAATCTACCAAAGACTTCGCAATGCGACGCATCAATGTTGTGAGGAAATTTTCAAACAAATTGTTAATAAATTATAATTTCTTATTACTAGACACTGGCTAAGGTACAACAGTCCGTTGCCAAAGAAAAAAAATATTTTTAGTTACCTTAGCGCCTTGCTGGCGGGTTGCTCGACAATGCGCACACAGGGCGCTGACGCGGGCACGGCAGCGGGCGTCATGGCGGGCGCGGGCGCAGGCGCGGAGGCGGGGGCGAGCGCGGGCCGCGACATGCCGTCTACCTCGCGCGCATCGAACGCCGGGTCCGCGATGCAAATCGCGTCCACTGCACACGAGAGACACGTGTTAGTCGCTACCAACAGAAACTAATTCCTTCTCTTCTTCATCATTCATTTACGTGGTAGAGCCACGCTATAAATACCTCTCACAGAATACCAGCGTAAAATAGCAGTTCAATGCTGCTGTGCATTGCAGACCGTTTTTACTGAAAACGATACATTCCAGCTTAGTTCTTAGCTTAAGCTTAGTGGTGACAACTAGGTTTACCAGATCGGAAGACCAAAATATCTTCTTTTTTATAGGATAGGGTAACAAAAGAGCACACAGTCCACCTGATGGTAAGTGGTTGCTGTGGCCCTTAGACATCTACATTTATCCGCGTTTGCGAATCAAAATGCAGATGTATTGTCATCCGTCAGGACTAAGATGGAATGCCTCTGTTTCCAGTAATAAGGGTCTCCGGTTCTCTACACTCACCATACGAAACACAGCAGCATTAAGCTACTATTTCACGCTGGTATTCTGTGAGAGCGTGGTCCTTCCCCGGTCGAGCCGACCAATTCATGTTAAAATTATACTACTAATATAACTGCAGCATGGCTCTACCACGTATAATATATTATATATCTAGGCAAATTTTGAAAATGTTGGGATTTTAGAGTTTTTGTCGGGAGAAATAAATATTAAAAATAAAAGTTTACTTTTTGAGAGGAGGTCACAAAAAGTACTTTAAAGAAAACTAATTTAAGTACACTTAATTTTAAGGTTGCCACATGTATTTGGTATTGGACTTAGTCCACCAATTTGGATCCTTTAGTAGTGTTCAGAAAATATTTAAAATTCAAACAATTTACTTCAAAGTGGAGATTTTGAGTAGCGTCGGAAGTCTGGAGATCGTTTGAAATGTCGGCAGAATCTAAACGAATTCCGACCATCTGGCAACTCTAATGACAATACATGCATGTCAATATGATATGTCAATGATCCACATCATTCACTTACCATCAGGTGGTGCGTGTGCAGGTGTGCTCGTTTGTCACCCTTTATATTTAAAGAAAATATTACCTCTGGCAGCCTCATACGTTACAGAGGGTTTCCTTTAACCGCCACGCTTAGCAGGTTCCAGTTATTGTGAATATTTATATGACTAGAGAAATGTCTAGTAATATTCTTCTTCATCGGTCTGTGAAAAGTGCATTGCTAGCTTCTCCCGTTTGGAAGGATTCGCCGTTATAAATAATAAAATAAAAATATTTATTCATTGTAGAACTGTGATCCATAAATGTTAGTAACAAAAGGTCGTATCACCTATGTTAGTACATAATAAGTAATTTTGTAAGGTAATCTGGCATATGTGCTCGTCTAGTTGACGGTCCCACAGTCTGGGACGGCTTGCAGAATTTGTGCAGCTGTCTGGGAAACTGTCAAACACTGAATACGCAAGAATACTAGATGCACTGTAGTGTCGTCTAAGTTGCCTTGGAAGAAGGATTGGTTTTCGCAGTAGTACACGTAGTATGCGTTGCGTAATGCGTAATATACACACCAGTCGCTGTTCCTCGTCGCCGTACTGGGTATTTTACAAATGAAGTAAGCGAGCTGATTTTTACCGCCATTCTTCGGAAGCCATGATATTTTAGTTGGCTCTTACGACTTCCAGGGAATAAAATGGGGTGGTGCATATTCTTACGCTGCCAAACACTGTAATCCCCCTCCCACTCCAATAAGAAAGAAAAAAATATCGTATTAAATAATGTATGTATATAATTAATTGAATTAGACCCTCTTTTGCGGAAATGTATTATATTATAGATTTTGAATCTAAGGCTGAGATCTATAGACCATACTTTGCTCAGACTTTACTCAAAAAAACTTAGCTGAGTATACTTAGCATAATCTTTGATTCTGAATTTATAGTTGTATCGGGTTAAGATTAACTTAAGCCTATCAAATTAAAAAAAAATTATATTTATTAAACAAAAACAATCTAACTGTATTTCATGAATAGTTTATTATTACATTTAACTAATTTTAGTTAGAGCAAAATCAAAGTACGGTCTATAGATCTCAGTCTAAGATTTGTGCGGCAAGTGCATGCAACTGAAGGGGAGCGGGGGGGGGGGTCCAAACTAGGTAAAAGACATCATTTTATTTTATTACGCGGATTTTACTATCTTTAAAATATTGTGTGTTTTTCTAGGTGATGGGGCTCGCCCAGGAATACGTTCGGTACGCGCACACCCACGTAGGTATCAATTATCAATTTTAGCCGACATGCAGCGGTGTATCCCTTGTTGTGTTTCGGTAAAAGAGCCAATCTAATTACAGGATGTGGAGCGTTACATCTTAGATTTAAGAAGCTGACAACGCATCTCTACTCTTCTACGCACTACAGTAGCGAGTCACTTTACATCAAATGGACTGCTAGCCCGTTACTATAATAAAATCATATATCGTGTAGTAACGAGAAGAAAGAATTTACTGCCCCACCTCTTCCAGTTGCTGCCGTAAATCGTAAAAAAAATCACGACCCCCTCCCTCAAATGCCATACCAGACACTGCAACGTCTAGCAATATTTAATAAACATTTATGGAACATATTATTATTTAAAATATGGCGTTGTCATTATGTTGTGGCGAAATAAATTTAAAATTTATTAAAAAAATTCTCGTATTACGTTTTTTGTAAAAAAAAATACGCCAAATATAAAATTAAGACGTTTTGTGACAAACTAGGGACAATATCAAGAGTTAAAAATAGGCACCAAAGTAAACGTAAAACGAACTTATGGTCTACCTGATAGTAAGTAGGTACTAAAGTTCATGGGCACCAGCTGCCAAGTTCAAACAAAGGATGCTGCAGGTGTGTCGTAACTATTGTGTATACTGGCTCTCTAACCATGACACCAGAATCTAGCATCTTAGCAGCAGAAATATGTAAAAGGGTGGTTGTGGTAGCCAGACAGACTTCTAGGCAAAAAACTCTACTGTGTAAATTGAGCAGTGTAAATTGAGCAGTGTAAATTGAGCCTTACACACAGCTCAATTTACACTGCTGCGGAATGGGATCGAAGCGAATTTTTGTAATGAAATTGTACATAGTAAAATGAGTTATGTTAATTGTGTAACGAGCAAACTACATATGTGCCAAAAAAGATGTAGCGCGTCTTCCGGGGAATTTTTGAGGATTCCCATAGCTACTGTCGGCGAAGTCTGTGGAAACGGCTCATATGTAATTTGCGCGTTACACAATTGACATAAGATGTTTCTTACAATGTACAATTTCATTACAAAAATTCACTTCCATTCCGTTTTGCAACAGTGTAAACTGAGCCTTAGGGTCTACCCACACGTACCACAACCACAACCACAACACGTGGGCGGGCGAATTTTTTATTGGAAATGAATAGTACAATTTACATGTACCACATTTCGCCGTCATTATCGACTGCATGAGTGATACCGACCACAACGCAACCACGACGCAACCACTACGGAACCACATGGAACTAGCGGCCGCTATTAGCGACAACGCAACCACATCGACATTGTCGCATAACCACAACGCAACTGCAAAAAGCTGCAGCGACACTATTCACACGTGACCACATTTTGTCGCTGCGATGTAGTGTGGTTGTGGTACGTGTGGGTCGATCCTTAAGGTTCACTTTTGAAATAAATGTAATATATATTTTTTACACACTGTTTTATTTATCACATTTATTACATGCTATCCATATTCTACAAAGCATAAGTCTCCCCCACAGATCACTTTATTCCATTTCAGTTGCCATGCTAGGCAAACGGATTGGTACCCGCAGCTTTTTAATGTTTTCAGTTGTTATCAGGGAGATGCTGCTGCCCATCTCCAGAATCAGTTTCCCTCTGTCGCCTCAAACGACACCCACGCCACGGGACGATATTAGCCTTTAATGAATAATAAAAGTATGGAAGTTTATAAAATTGTAAGATGACTTATAGCCATGCGTCGGTTTCCTCGTCACCCGCTACGATACGTCAAATAACACTGGACTTTCCGCTAAATGCGAAAATTGTAACAGGTAAAATATTTACCTAAATAATATACACGTGGTAGTCATGTTGCATCTATATTATAATTGTATCACAAAAGTCGTAAAATAGCAGCTTAATACTTCTGTGTTACATCTGCATTTAATTTCTCCATCGAGTATTGATTTAAATGTCTATGGGCCACAGTATCCACTTACCATCAGCTGGACTGTGAGCTCGTTTTGCCACCCTTATTCTAACAAAAAAGCATCAGATTTTGAGAATAATGACAGTGATGCAACAACCGCGATGCAAAATTCAGCGAATGATAAACAATACAGGTTTATTTTCTTCAACGCCATGCGACTGCGACATGGATAGGACATTATTTACATATTATAGGGCTTTTCTCGGGAAAACGTCTCCGAGTACCGGGACAAAATTGTGTCTGAAGTCGAGTCTATGCTGTACAGTCTCGGATTGGGGGCGACTAAATCTAGTCCAGTTTAACCCTCAGAAGACACAAGTTTGCGCGTTAGCCGCTAAAAAGAACCCCTTTGTCGTATCTCCTCAGTTTCAAGGCACTCCCCTTGTTGCCTCAGCCAGTATCGGAATCAGAGTGACGTGTAGCTTCGTGGTCACTTGGAAGAGAAGGCCTCTAAAAAGCTTCGCGTGCTCAGCAGAGCGGGACAGTATTTCATGCCAGCACACCACCTGCAACTTTACAAGGCGCAGGTTCGGCCGCACATCGAATACTGTTCCCATCTCTGGGCTGGGGCTCCCCAGTACCAGCTCCTTCGACTTGACCGCATCCAGCGCAGAGCGGCTCGAATCACCGACGACCGAGTGCTTTCCGATCGGCCCAATTCACTGGCGTTGCGAAGAGATGTTGCATCTCTTTGCATTTTATTTCGCATATGTCATGAGGAGTGCTCTGAGGAATTGTACGGATTAATCCCAGCCGCCAAATTTCGTGAACGCACTACGCGTCAAACGTCTCGATACCATCCACACCATCTGCATGCTTGGCGGTTC